TCGACACGCGTGCCGACTCGCTCCCGACACGGTTGGACTTGTTCCCGACACGGCTAAGAAGGCGACTATGATGCCCCGGCACGGCTGAGAAGGCCACTACGAACCTGAAGGAGGGAAGACAGTCGAGGGAGTAAACGACGATCTTCGAGGGACGACGAGCTTTGAGGGGGACGACGAGCTTTGAGGATGACTCGACGACGAGCTTCAAGGGAGGAGTCGACGACGAGATTCGTGGGACGACGAGCTTCGAGGGAGGAGTCGACGACGAGATTTGAGGGAGAACAATGAAAACCCTAGCCCTTTGGATCTGAAGGAGAAGAGAGGGGAGAGAGAGAGGAGAGATGCCCTAGTCCTTCGGATCTGAAGGAGTAGAGAGGGGAGAGAGAGAGAGAGAGAGGAGCCGATTTGAAGGAGGCGGTTGTTGGAAACATGGGAGAAAAGTGAGAACCCTAGCCCTAGAACTCATTCCTACCTATTTATATGAGTAGCATTTGTAAATAAAAATTTGGGCTATGGTTGTAATATTTTGTACACTTGTAATATTTACCTTCCATTTCAACAATATATTTGTAATATTTTGAGGAATGCTTGTAACATTTTGGGTATAATTCTAACTTCTAAATGTATGCTTGTAATTTTTAACTCTCGTTTTGCCGGATAAGCTTGTATTTTTATATGCTCAAGATGAAAGTAAATGTATGCTTTTGGTTGTAATTTTTATATTTTTGCAATGTTAGTAACTTAGTTTTTTTTTTTTTTTTTTGATTTAGTAACTTAGTATTTTGTAGCCATGGAACTAGTTACAACTTGAACTTTATCCTCTTGTATTTTTATATGCTCAAGATGAAAGTAATAAAAATTAAAATTTGGTATTATCTTCAAATCAGTTACATAACTTACATTTGTCATTGATTATACAAGATAAGGTTACATAATAATATAACATAAAAATTGATCTATTTTTCTATATGTTCATTTTCTCTTTCTAGTCTTCTTTAACATTATTGTCTTCAATTCTCCAAGAGATCATTGACATCCCGACGTCTTAATTCACACCTACAACACACACTTTCCTTTAGTTTCTTATTTATAATATCCACTTTACATAACAAAAAATATGAAAATGTAATAGGAATTTAATTCAATATTGATCTATATATAATGATAACAATAAAAATCTAGCTGTGTCGCCGTGTCCTATTTTTTTGGGTTTTGCCGTGTCCGTGTCGTGTCCATGTCGCTGTGTCCGTGTCCGTGCTTCATAGCTTGATAGGAATTAGATACAACTAATCTAGAGGTTTGACCAATAATGAACAAGTTAATTAATTGTTAGTCCTTTCATAACAATTATTTGATGATACTTTCATATTTTCAAGTTTGTTTCCCATCACGTTAGCTTTTTTTTTAATTTATTTTTTTTATATTGATGCTATGTCTAGATTGTTTACCCTAGTGGATATCTCCTCATAAAGGCATTTCCCAATGCATGTAAAATCAGTAGAGATCGGGTTATACATTTGATTCCGCTATACCAGAACCCTAGCTATTTCGTTCAGTAGCCCAGATAATTGTACAAGAACTCATAAGCTCCAGTTTTATAGCAGTGCGATATGTAACTATCGATATCTTATGTGTTCGCTTTTATAGTAGCACTCTAAAGTGGTAATGTAATTCATACCATGGTCACAGGTTTAATACAAAATGGTTACTGCAGCATTACATGTTTCAGCGTGTGAAGTACACAAAGTTAATTGATGTGTGTATCTATCTATTACTATTATTTAAGAAAAGCTCTACCCCTATGTCAGTCACCTTTAAAAAAAAATCCAATCATATCCTAAAAGTTATACACACAACATCCAGTAATTTAGAACTTGGTAGAGGGACAAGTTTGGAAAACAAAAGCAGCAATCTAACTCATAACTACCTCCGCTATTTAGTAACTAACACTATATAGTAACTAACAAACCATCCACTAACTAACCCAATTTTTCAAAATCACAGGTACTTTCCAAATTTCTCCTCTCTTGTTATTGATCTCTCTTTTGTAACTATCATTTATACAGGTACTGATAGACATTATTAAGGTGCTAGCAATTTTTTTTATGCACAAGTGTGTATCATATTATGCACGCATCGTGTGCGGCGAGTGCGGCAGAATACCAGTGTAATATAATATAAAGACTCATGAGAACTATTTGATTCACATAACACTCATCTCTTCCTATGTCTCTACCTGTTATCTCAAGCCCTATTTATCCATAATCCTAGTTCCTGATAGTCTAACATAACAGAAAAACACTCACAAACATTAAGTCCGGCTTCTGTTATGAAGTGGCATATTGTATCCAACTGCACGAAACTAATCATATATACAAGTATAAGCAACCCTAGGTTCAGGCAGAATGCAGTAGGAAAAGCACGGAATGATTCTGCACTAACCTTCAGTTCTTGTTCAGAGGTCTTGAGCCTATCACTGTACTCTTGTGTTTGCAGAAAACTTTTACTTAGCTGCACCACGTAAACAAATGTAAAAATTAAGTCCGAGTATCTCTGTACACATTAAACAACTAGGCATGTTAGTTTCAAAACTGTGGAAAACATGTCTGAGGATCATCTACCTTTGCCAGCATCGACTGTCGTTGAGAGGTGAGCTTCTTTGCAGCAGCCAAAGCATCCTCCAATTTCTGTATATTTAAAATCATGTATTTCAGCTTTGTAGGCTTTCAAATGGTCAAATATCACTTAAATTCCAAGGACAGAAATGAACACAATTGCTCATGATATAAATAAGAAAGAAATTACCTGGCATTTCTTTTGTAAATTGGACACAGACTGTTCACGCTCATCAACCTTCTCATTTATCACTTGCAGCTGATGCAGCACAAAAGCATTCAGTTTGTCTTAATACATGACAGCATTTAGAAACCTCTTTTTTCTTCTTTTTTTTCCTTTTTTTTCTTGGAAGCATGATATGTAGCAAGATTTGGTTATGGAAGCACGTGCTGTATACAACTACGAATAGCAATGCAAACATTCACTTTTTGCACAGATCACAGACGATGAGTGAAGGATTTCAAAACAACTAAAAATTGATCAAATGAAAATGTTGACTGCATTTTACTCCCTGAACAGAGGTAAGATAAGAAAAGGGAGAAATAGCTTCCTGGAAACTAAAGATTTTAGGACAGAACAGAGCAAAATTCACCAAGAGCCATGTGCCAGTGTCCTTGGATGAAAATAATTCATGAATAAGTGCAAAAAAGTAAAAGCAGCGGACAAAATCTACTTAGACGAACATAATTTATGAATAAGTGAAAAAAAATAAAAGCAGCAGACACAAACTTCAAAGCATTTTAACAAGAATCCTACCAGGAATCAACAATCTTGAATTGGAGGGTTAAATTTCAGATATTGGCCAGCTATAGCACAGATCTGAACCAGATACATCAAAGCAAGGGTAAATTTCACAAAAGTACCATGAACTATAAGGGATTTACATAAAAATACCATAAGATAGTTTTGTTAGAGAAAAACGTGACAATCTTTTCACTAAACTTCCATGACCAATGGCTGTTAATGTAAATTAGCATGTACCTTCAGATATTTACTTTATATAATTACTACTCTCGCGCCACTTATCCTTAACTATTAGGGGCATTTTAAACTTATTGATAAAAATGTTAGGATAATTTTCAGATAATATGTAGTATTTTTCTGCAAATCAGAAAGCTCGTGGTATTTTTCTCTGATAAAAAAATACTCTATGCTAGTTCATGCAAAGCTCTAATTGTTCATGGTAGTCATGTGAAATTCACCCTCAAAGCAAAATCGTAATAACAAATTCTTATTAGCAAAAAAAGCAAATACCTGAAGGTACATCCTAAACTCTAATTGTAAATAAGAGAAATATGAAAGCATCACATATCTGCCCCTTCTCTTCATGTATTATGAAACAAGACACGAGCATCTAAACATATCTATTAGTTGGAGAAGACGGCTTAAACAATGAACTTTGCAGCTAAAATATTTGTGAGTACAGACATAAAGACCAAAACCTTCATGCTAGCATAGCTGAAAATGTGTGATTATCTGAATATAAAAGATATCATGTTGCTTTGGTAAAAGGATTCAATTAAAAGACCTCCTTTTGAAGTTCCTCGCTCCTCTGGAAGGATGCCTCCAGTTCCTCTTTCACCTAATTAATGAATAAAAAAGAAACGGATGAATACAATCAATCTTAGTGCTAGCTTTGTTTAAGTTAGATAAGTGTTATGCTATTGTACTTGGTGCTGATACTCATCAACAGAATTTGATGACAATTCTCTGCTTTGACGATCATCGAGACGAGAACTGTTCAGCAAATAAGCAAAAACAAAATATTAACAAGTTTCTGTTATATATCAAGAATGCTACGATCCTAACACCTTTATGCTTCTGAAAAAACATCAATAAATTGATTGAACTATTATATATTTTCATCTGCTAACTCTAGTTTCTCCCTTAGATTATATGTGAATCCTCCAGGGCACAACCAGGTCGACAGCAATAGAAGAAGAATCTAATGAAATCCTCCACCCTAGATAGCAAATATTCAACTCATACTAGATGAGGTAGAAGTGTCATCAGTGAATATAATCTCTAATTTCATAGTGCACAAGTTCACTTCTGCAATAAACTAGACCTGTGATTGCAGAAGATAGAATGGAATGTATATTTTCTATTGAAATCAGAAATATGTTCTGAAATTAAAACCCAAGAAAGTATTTTTCTTCTTCTGACACACCAAGAACAAGTAGAGAAGTATTGTTAATTTCAATGTCCAAGAGGATCTATCTTCATCGAGAAAATAAGAAAAGGGAGTTAGAGAGATGTACAGAGGAGGGACTTTAGTAAAATTAGTTTCACAAATCAAAACAAGGGGGTTGTGTGAATCATAGTTACACAGGTATGCAGCAGGTAGTGGGTCAGGTTTGAATTTGGGTACACAATTCGCCACTTAAAAAATTGGATTTGAGGATACGCAAGTTCGATATGTGATATGTCGCAAACTTTTTAGGGTGCACTTACCATTTTCAAAATGTATAACACGAAACTAGAAACTAAAATGCTAATTATGTGTTTCAATAGTTTTGCATGCAAAGTACTTAAATGCTTCATTTTCAAAATAATAATAATACATAAGACAAAACATATAAATTACAAACTAAGCCCCTTAACAAGTTTGTTCTCCTTACCAACTTTCTTCCACCTTAGCAATCAACTGCATCTTCAGATTAATCTGAATCCAAAAAATTCCGAGTGAAAGCTCATAAAATGTTCCTTCATGCTTGTTTGTCTATTATGTGAGCGGTGTAAGTCTCGCTTCACTCAATTGTGCACAACACATTGCGCCTCTCTCATGTGCACTTAAAAGGGATTTTGCGCGCCGCATACTTGTAAGCAATATGCCAATTTTGGGAAACTAATTTGTGTACCGGACAGAATCGTTGTGTGGCAAACGTACCATAAAGGCAGGAATTGTTTTGCAGGAACTGTACAACGGTTCTAGAGGGGTTCAGGGAATTACGCAACTATGCTGTGAATTGATAACCCAACAGCAACAGATTTCATGCAAAGTATAGGTGCTTTAAAATGTATGTGGCTTTTGAATTTGCATCAGAAACTACACCCATTTCCAGGTGTTCCTTAAAATTTCCTATTATCAAAGAAATAAGTTTAATGGCAAATACTTATAAATGAGAAATGAATGAATAAATAATCAAAAAATATCAGTTAAATATTTAAGTAAATAATTAATAAAAATCATCAGATAGTTTATGTTTTCAGAAGAAGGATGGGTCAAGTCAATAGTGATAAATAAGATTGAGGTAATTACTAATTAAATTGACCAATCCATGGGCCAAATTAGAAAGGTACAAATAAAATCTAAATATTAGACTTGAAAAAGAAAATAGTCATTGCAACAGCCCTTTACTAAACCTGAATCCATGATTGAAATCAAATGAAGATTTAAAACCATAAAATTAACAAAAGATAATAGAAAAAAAAGATGGGTTTGCATTTGAATTGCCTACATCCAGCATTGGTACATAAATTGAGTAAAGCAGAACAATGAGGCAAGTATCAATTTCGACTAAAGAAGGCATAAAGGAAAAAACAGGCAAGGCATAGAAGGAGAAAAGATGTTGATATTAGACCACACTGAAGGAATGTTTAGAATGAAGGAACATAAAAGAAAAAGTAAGAAAAGATGCAGAAAACTAGAATATGGAAGTGGTTTTTACACAAATGTGGAGATAAACATGAAAAAAGAGAATTAAGGAAGAAAATCAAGGAATATACCTCTTAAGGTAGGTTTTGTGGGAATTGACAACAATGAGTTCGACTCTAGGGCCCAAGAGTATTTCACTGATTATTATTATTATTGTTGTTTTAGTGGTATTTGAAGGCTGAGCTTTACAATATGTCAATATGTGCCTTAGCCAGCTAAAATTATGTAAGCATAGGTCTAGATGAGTTTCAGAACAATTGCACTCAAATTTACAATTCCAAACTCTATAGGTATAGTCTCTCCTTAACTCTATAGTCTCTATTTGTACAGATATTATGCATAGTTAAAAAAATGCATTAAATTGAATGATATTGGAAATAAACCAAGTAAAAATCATTAACCCTTCTTGTTTTTATTCCTGATATTGGTCACTTGCATACTAAGCTATCTTTTTCTTTGCATCAGGCCCAATTCACTGGATAAAGTTGTGTCATGTCAGGTCAAAGTGTCCAACACAGTTCAATGACAGGAAATAAACATATACTGGTAAACAGAAATGATCCAGAACATACCCAAGTCTATTTCTTGATGGCTGCTCTTCGTCATTGCCTGAATCATGATATTTTGTTTTATCCATCTCCCTATCTTGGTCCCAGTCCATATCATGATCCCTTTCCAAGTCCCTGTCATGATCCCGTGCATGTTCTTGACCATGGGCACTACGATCCCGATGTCGATCAAAGGCATGGTCTCTTGCTCGACCAAAGTCACGCCCTCTGTCATAGTCTCTATCCCTCTCACGGTCTCGAGAGCGATCATTGTTCCTATCTCTTAAGCGGTCTCTATCACCACTATGGTCATTGTCCCTCTCCAAGTCCCCATCCCTCCCAACATCACGATGGAAATTTGGCCTACCACCCCTTGTACGGACTTCATTTACTCTTACAACTCTCCCACCTATTTTCTGCATAAGAGTATTGGTACTAGAAGAATTAAGTAGGATGAAATAATCTACTTGTTTTCTATGAATAACCAGTAAAAACTATATTATTAACAAGGTGAAAACTAATTGAGAAGTATAATATGGTCATTCACGAAAAGTAGAGACGTACCCTGCCATTCATGTCATTGATGGCATCCACTGCAGACCTAGGATTAGTAAAGGTCACAAAACCATAACACTTTCCCCCAACTCCACGGTCATTAACAATCTGCAAATGAAATATACAATAAATAGGGACAGGAACTAATATGAGAATTATCCATTTTTAAATGCAACAGTTGAATAGCACCATAACAGGAGACGTACAGGGAGAAACATTGCAAAATAAAGTCTGAATTGATTAGGTTTCAACACGTGAATTATCATTGCATCCGGCTTGCCTTGTAGAATTTCGAAATGTCCCATTGTCATATTAAAATACGGATGGACTTTGCATGTTACAATACAGATAACACGAAAATTCACTAGAACTACATTCAACAGATGGTCCACCATTGAATGTCATAAATTTGTCACAAAATGGTGACGCTGATCTACTGCAAACATCCGAATGACAGTTCATATGCACATGCTTAAGCGTCAAGACCTAATGTGAATCCATAGCCAATAGCCTCAAAAGTTCCAATAATATTTGTTTATAGCATCAAAGACCAGCACATCCTAATACCAAAAATGAAAATTCGAATAATTCGTTTATCAGAGATTTTTCATAAATCGAACTACCCTTCGCTGAACAAGATTCAACGTTTCCCGTTTCCGCAACTAATTCAGGCTCATATGCCCAACAAAACACCAAGATTCAGGAATTAGAAAGTTGAAGCCCTAACATTATGAACCCTCATTAATAAAATCTAACAAACTTTTGGAGAAAATTTTGAAAGTTGAAGCCCTAACATTATGAACCTTCATTAATAAAATCTAACAAACTTTTGGTGAAAATTAAAGGGACAGAACCTTGACGGCGACGACAGCGCCGTAGAGATCGAATGCTCGTCGGAGGTCGTCCTCGGTGGCGTCGTAGGGGAGGCCGCCGACGTAAATAGAGTTGTCGTCGTCGATCGTCATCGCCTTCTTCCTCAACTTCTTTGTTTGCTCATTCTAGGGTTTCGAAATAGAGAATGAGGACGAGCGAGACTGACGTTTTGGATTTACAAGGAGAAAATACCACATTTAAATGGCTCCTAAAGAAGCCCACCCAAAGTACAGAGAACCGTGAACATCTGGGCCTTATGAAGAAAGCCCATATAGAACGGCAACTGAGGCCTAGTTTGCATACTAGCAAAAAGAAACTAGGGCCGCGTTTGGGAACTTGGATTTGGGCCTTGGATTTAAAATTCTGGGTATTTCAAATCTAAATATTTAGTTTGGATTTTAATTGGGCTGAGATTTCAAATCAAATTATTTTAAACAGGAGAATTTGAAAGCCCAAATACTGATATTCCAAATCACAACCAGCCCCTAGGTATTTACCAAATTCCGATCCTCACTCCTCTCTCTCATTTCTCACTCCCGTTCCCGATCCCCGATCGCGACTCCTCCTCTCTCTCATTTCTCGGTCTCGATCTCGACTCTCAAGTTCTCTCTCAACGCAGCTGGTAACATCTATCTTCAGTTCTGATCTAGGGTTTCAGTCTCCTCTCTCTCCCCGTTCCATCGAAACCCTAGATATGATCTAGGGTTTAGGTCATGATCTTCGTGGCTTAAACGCAGCAAACAATAATTTTTTGTTGAACTCTGACTTGGCTTTTCTCTTTGTAGCTTATTTCCTCCTCTCTTTCGGTTGCTCTCCTCAAGCTTCTGTAGTTTCTGATTGGGATTCAAGGTATGGCTTCAATTTTTGCTGTTATTTTTTTTTTTTACTTTTTTTGGGTGTTTCTTTGGGATCTGAGGATGTGGGTATCCCTCATTTTCTTCAGTTTTCTTGGTCATGATCATTTCTATTTTCTCGTATTTTTTTAGAATTTTATTGTGTCAATATATCACATAGTTCTTATTTGTCTTTCGAGTTATTCACAGACCACCAGAGTCTGAAATACCTATTTTCTCAGAAGGAACTCAACCAGAGGCAGCGGCGATGGGTCGAGTTCATCAATGATTACAAGTTCGCGATTCAGTACCATCCGGGGAAGGCGAACGTCGTGGCTGACGCTTTGAGCAGGAAGCATCGACATCGGGTTGTGGCTTTGAGGTGTTCGTTGTACCGAGATCTCTCCATAGTGGCTGAGTCCATGCTTCTTAATTTTGAAAGCTTTAGATTGATTGCATTTGTAATGTGCATATAGCTTAACTCTCTTTGTAGTACTCTCAATAAGCGTATCTATTTGAAATCCTAATTTTACAACGGAGCTACTTAATACTCCATTGAATATTTTCATTGAAAGGAAACTGAAGCATACAAGTTATACAGCTAGCTACCCAGCCTTATCCGCATTAAATATTATCTTGAAAGAAATTTTGAAACATGGGGATCCTCAATTTTTATACAAGTTTATAAACATGGATTATGTATAAAAACCGAAAACTGCAGCTGTATGTTTTGTTGCCTTAGGCCTTAGTATTGAAGTTCATTCTCAGAGTAACTATTTCATGTCTCTATTTTCCCCCCAATTTTCATTTGTCTAAGGTGATGTTGTATTGCTTCCATATTTTCTTAGGATCTGAAGTGATATGAATCGCATGGTAACTATGAGAAGTTAGAACAAATTGGGATATTCCAAGAGATGCATTCCCCCCCCCCCCCCCTTTTTTTTTCTGTGCTTTTAAATTATCAGCCACGGTAAAAATGTAAATATGTAAAACACAGTTCTTTGTTTTCTTACAAGTTTTAAATTTGCTTGCAAAGGAGAGTAAGTTGTGAGCAGACTTCAAAAGATACAAAAAGATGTGGGCATATACTATCAGATTCAATCTTATGATCCTATTTTTGATGCAGAGGTTTTAAATTTGACATGTAAACATGTGTTTTTATCATTTATTATTTTTCATGAAAACCATCTGCTATCACTGTAGAAATAGTATTTTACATGATCAAACACTAGCCTTTATATATTGAAACATTTGCAGTTTTAAGGTTCTACACTGTTATGTTTTACATGATCAAACACTAGCCTTTATATATTGAAACATTTGCAGTTTTAAGGTTCTACACTGTTATGTTCTCAATGTTGTGCTAGAATTACTGGTTTCATTGAAACATTTGCAGTTTTAAGGTTCTACACTGTTATGTTCTCAATGTTGTGCTAGAATTACTGGTTTTATTGGTTTTTATTGTCTCAAATTTTGTGGTCTTGAGTACTATTTAAGATGTTGAACAATGTAACCTGAGCTAAAGTATGTGTGTATCGATGCAAAATTTGGTGGTTACAGTGGCCATCCTGTTCTCATTGCATAGGCTGTAATGTTGGTATTTATCCTTGCCTAGCGCCACCTCATGTACTTTTTGGAATCATATCATATGACATACGCCTATACTGGGGATTCTATCTTTAATTTTCAATTTATACATAATCTATTTTGAAATAGATTGTTATTACAATTAACTATTTTATACAAGTTTTTAAAGTTTTGGTTAACTCTGGAAATGTATATATAAAGTGGAAATGTATATATAAAGTAGAAAATGTAACTAGGCGTGCGTCATGATTCCCATGTGCTTTTAAGCTAGATATTTTGAAGGTATAATTTGTTAAGATCTGTGTTTGGATTATTTAGGTAGATTTTATATGGTTGTTGTTTGATAACTAGAATGAAGAAAGTGTGGAGTCCTTGTAAATTGCTAGCAAGATTTATGAGTTAACAATGACCCTATATTATTGTTACTTGTAGTGCAAAAGTAATATAGGATTTGCTGTACATTTAGCATTAGCCATTTTCATATATTACACGCATATACACACAGATACATGGATGGTTTAGCTTATGAAGGATCTGAAATTGGGGATGGAAATAATTAAAGACAGGTTTCCATCCATTTCCTTACAAAAACCCATGAAATATGAGATGAATACCGACTTTGACAGGGGGCTAGCATTGATGCGGCATAAACATGTACCAAAAAGGTTGTAAGTGCACAACCGTGTCAAGTTATAGTATTTAAGATATCGATCCCACGAGGAAGGTGTTTTGTAGGAGAAAATATAAAATCGGTTCTTATGTTGTGTGCGTGACAAATAAGATTGATGAGTGAATGTGATTGTGAAGAGATTGAGATAGTGAAAATGGTGTGTAAATAGGTGCAAGTGTAAGTGAGAGTGAATTTGAAAAAGAATGAGTATGATCAATAAGGTGAGAAGGAAAAAATGAAAAAAATCAAGAAACAAATAAAAAAAATCAAGAATGAAGAACAAAATTCTAGAATAAAAGAAAATGCAAGAAATTAAAGATGGTGGATTCAATTATAGATATGGATAATCTAAAATTGAACCCACTTCTTAGAAAATGGTGATTCCCTAGAGGGTTCTAGCCTAAAGGCGAATCAAACAAAATAAAAATAAATAATAAAAAAATTAAACCCAAGAGGGTTCTAGCCTTAAGGTGAATAGTATAAGAAATTAAAATCTAACTACAAAATAAATTGCAAAATCTAAACTACAAAATAAAATTGCAAGAATTAAATGCACGAAAATAAATCTACTCTATAAGCATAAAATAAATCTAAGACAAGAGGGTTCTAGCCTCTTAGCTATTTAATAAGAAAATAAAAATCTAATTACAAGCATGAAAATAAATCTAACTAATAAGCAATAAAAGAGAAAATAATTCTCCATCTTCATCTTCATCTTCATCATCCAATAAAGAGAAGAAAAGAAAAATTTAAAGTGGTAAAAAAATTATTATTATTAATTGTAATAAAAAGTTATAATTTTGGAAGGCCTTCTCAATTAAGAGTAGTCCTCCTCTCCAAAAGGAGTTACAAAAATTTTCACCCCTCTAACCCCTCACTTTCTACCCTATTTATAGTAAACATCAGTGAATGAGAGCCATTGGATCAAACTTGAGCCCCAAGACAAGCAAAATCAGTCATTGACGCGCGCTACAGTAATCTGGCATCGATGCAGGCATCGATGCAGGTATCGATGCCAGCATCGATGCCCACATCGATGCCGATATCTATGCCCACTATTTACAAATTCTGATTTCACGGATAGCTTCGTCTCATCGAGATAGGTGATTTTCATATATTATATGTTAAATTCCGCCTTCCGGATTAGGAGATATCGTCGTTTCTTTGTGGCCAACCATTTTGAATATGATTTCTTTTCATATTGGATTTTTGATTTTATCCGGCTTCTACAGGCTACTCGGCTTGATTCTGGGCTTTTGGATAATTTGGAAATTGATTTTCCAATGTGCTTCTTTGCTTCATTTCTTCATTTAATCAATGGGTTTTTGTTGAGAGATGAGAGTTTGAGATTTATTCTTCATTAACCTGCAATTAAAAGATAAAAACAATTATTAGTGGTATATTTATTCATATAAAATAGATAATAAGGGTATAAAATTGGAATAAAATATGATTATTAAATACCCCTACACCTAAACTTTTGCTAGTCCTCTAGCAAAGAAAGAAAAATGAAAGAAAACCTAACTCACTTTCGCAGGAATCACGGTTGTATTTAGCGCATACAACAAGCCTTTAAACCCCTAGGTTACCCTAGTGGACGAGTTGTAGTCTCGTGAGGGTTTGCAGTGAATATACCCACAAAATTCGATCATCTTGTCAAATTAACGAAGTTAGTAAATAACTAAATTTACTTGATAATTGAAGCTAGTTATTACTCAAGAAAATATTTTTATATATAACTCTAAGGTATATTTCTAAGAAAATCTTCTCATTATAGCAATACAAAACCAAGCCAAACTTAGAAATTTAATTTAAAAGTTTTGAAAAGAACATGCTAACTCTTTGTTTAAAATAATATTCAAGTTGCTTGATCTAAAATATTTTTGAAGACCATATATACAAATATAACTATATATAAAACATTTATTAGTATTTTTTTATAATATTATTATTTTTAACTCTTTCTTCCTTGGTGATTTTTTTTTCTACTTTAATGGGCTTTCTAAGCGATCATTTAACGAGTTTTGGGCCAATGGATCCCAACCCAATTGGGCTTAGGTCATTAAGTATGAAAATACTCATTGGGCTTAATT